TTGGGCAGAGAGAGAGAGAGACAGCGAGAGATGAAGCATGCATTGAAAAAGAAGGACTTACGCCTCATCTGCACGCCACCGGTACTGGCAATATTCTCCACTTGAATTGTGTACTGACCCAGGTCTTCGTCGGTGAGTTTTGCAAAGTTGATTCGGTGCACAGTGCAGCCCTTGTCCTCCTCAATAGCAATGTGAGTCGGCAAACGCATGGGCAGTGGCTTGCCATCCTTCAGCCATTTAACTGGCTCACGTGGACGTCTGGAGAGTTCACATTCCAAGGAGACGGGTTCGGTTGGCGCCTGCGTCAACACTATTTCCGGCAGTTCTCGCACAAATTCCAGTGGAATGCCTACACAGAGACAGAGCGAGAGGGAGAGAGGGGGGTGGCAATGAGGGGGTGCTGAGTGTAATGCCTCTACTGTAGGCAGGTATGTGTGTGCTTGCGGGAGGAGGGCAGGGCAGGGCAGGGCAGGGCAGTGCGTGGGTGGGTGGGTGGGCTGCGCAAATATGCAACATCTGCATAGTAATATATGTAGGTATGTGTGGGTGTGTGTGTGTGTGTGAGGATGGCTTGGGAGTGAGTTGAAGAAGAAGGGAAGAGGTGAGGATGGAGAGGAGGAGGAGGAGGAGTAGGGGTAGTCAGATGAGAGAATGGAAAGCCAGACCTACCAAGGTGTACACTGTTGGATGGCTCCGAGGGCTTGCTCTTGCCGGCCTTGTTCATGGCTGTGACGCGGAATTCGTAGTCAACAAACTCCTTCATGCCATCGGTGCGTAGGGTACAGTGGGTCTCGGTCACCTTCGTAGGCAGAGGAACTTCCTGCCAGCGAGTACTATCCTTCGGCTTCATCTCCACAGTGTACTCATTCATCACGTCTTTGGGCAGAGGCTTGTCTGCTGGCAGTTCCCAAGTCAGTTCGATGGTCTGATCGGTGGGTTTGGCACTCTTGGGATTGACAGTGGCCTGAACGTTGATGGGTGTTGGAGGTGGACCTGAAAGTGCAGAAGGTTACTTGTGCGAGTGAGAATAGTGGCAACACAGCCATCACCAGGAAGGCAACCAGACATCCACTAGGAGCAGGAGAATGATGTGGTGTCGGTGGTGATGGTGATGCTTGGTAGTAGTGGCGGTGTCTGTCTTGGTGGCGGTGGAGATGGCGGTGGATGTGTTCTTTGTGAAAGACGAGCAGGAGGAGGAGGAGGAGGAGAAGGGGATGGGGAATATGGAAGATGATGATGATGATGAGGTGCTTACCAAAGTCAAGTTTGGTAGAGACTGGTTTTGCCTCGACAAAGTCGGACTGGCCAACGGAGTTCTTTGCTGCCACCATGAAGACATAGGACTTGTTGAGCTGAAGACCTTCAATGGGCGTGGAGAGTTGAGTGGTCTTAGTGACTGGCTTTCCGGCGCGCATGGATGCTTCACGCATTTCCACCACGTATTCCAGAGTACTGCCTGGCTCACCACCAGGGAACTCTGGCTCCTGCCATTGGAAGATCACGCGCTCACCGGTGTTATCAGTGACCTGCGGATTGCGTGGTGGTGAGGGCTTATCCAGCACTATCAAGTGCACCGTAACAGTCGATTCACCCAGCTCATTAGCAATCACCACAGTATAGTCACCGGCATCCTCACGTTTCACTTTACCCAGAGGAAGCGATGTCAGTCCAGGAGCAACGTCTGGCTTAAAGCGTGGCCTTGTTGGCTGACTGCCCTCCACTGGCGACTTCCAGGTCCACTCCACTGTCGGTTTCGGACTTGCCATGAAGGGCACCTCAACGACCGTTGAAGCGCCTGCCTTCAGAATAATTGTGTCCTCGAATTTCTCTGATAGACGAAGCACCGGAGCCACTGAGTGAGACAAGAAGACAAAGAAGTCAATAAAACATGGCCTACTCATCGTCCCCATCCCCCCTTCCCCCACATAGTACATTAACGCATCCGCATTGGCATCCGCATTGGCACAAGTCTTTTCATCTCAATCCCTACATAACTACCTACCTACATACCTTCCTTCCTTCCGTCCAACCAGTTTACCCACCTACCTGCCTACCTTAATACCGACCTGCATACTGTGTTTATGCATGCCCTGTTCAGGGATGCGTTGCCTGCCCCCGCGAGGGGGAGGGGGCTAGAAAAGGTGCCCTACAGATCGCTGGGATCAACGCTGTCAGTATGGTGGCCGTGGCCGCAGACAAAAAACACGCGGTGGATACAGCCAAAATCGAAACAACAGCAACAACAACAACAATCACTCTCTTCCTCTTCTGGCCTATTCTTCTTCTTCTCCTACTCCTACTCTTCGCCGCCGCAGTCGCCAGACTGGCAGGGGGAGCCCACTCGCTCTGGCAGCCTGGAATTTTCGTTCCTTTTTAGACAATCCGAGGAGCAACCGACCGGAACGGAGGACAGCGCTAGTGGCACGAGAACTGGCGCGCTACAAGATGGACATCGCCGCACTCAGCGAGACCCGATTCTCCGAACAAGGCCAACTGGAGGAGGTGGGTGCACGCTACACCTTCTTCTGGAGTGGTCGACCCAGGGCAGAGCGACGTGACGCGAGTGTCGCCCTTGCCATCCGGAGTGACATCGTGGGACGACTGCTCTGTCTGCCGCAGGGCATCAACGATCGCCTGATGAGCCTCCGTCTGCCTCTCCGGGGTGGGGGCAAATTCGCCACCATCATCAGCGCCTACGCTCCGCCGATGAGCAGCCCCGACGCCGCCGCAAGAGACAAATTCTACGAGGACCTGCACGCCCTATTGGCGACTGTGTCGAAGGCGGACAAGTTGATTGTCCTTGGTGACTTCAACGCCCGCGTCTGCACAGACCATACTGCCTGGAGGGGAGTGCTGGGTCCTCGCGCTCTCCGCGGCTCCAACGACAATGGTCTGCTGCTCCTCCGCACCTGCGCAGAACACCGCCTCATCCTGACGAACAGGTTCTTCTGTCTGCCGGAGCGAGAGAAGGCCACCTGGAGGCATCCTCGGTCGCGTCAGTGGCACCTGCTGGACTATGTCCTCGTCCGGAGGCGAGATCAGCGGGACGTGCTGGTGACGAAGGCGATCGCGGGTGCTGACGGGTGGACCGACCATCGCCTCATCATCTCGAAGATGCGTATTCGCCTACAGCCTCGCAGGAGACCACAAGGTAAGCGACCTCCAGGTAAGCTGAATGTTGCTTTGTTGTCTTTGCCCGCTCATCATCTTCATTTCAGCAATGAGCTAGCTCAACGGCTAGACAACCTTCCTATCACTGCCGACGCCGCCGCTGCCGAGAACGCCTCCGTGGAGAACCGCTGGTGTCAACTGCGAGACACGGTCCAGTCGACGGCGCTCGCCGTCCTCGGTCGCGCTCCCCGCCAACACCAGGACTGGTTCGACGACAACGACGCCGC